ACGCAATGGCGCACTGACTGTGATTCGTTGCCCACGACCACGTGTATGCCCCCGCAAGCTGGTAGAACTGGTTGAGACACCTGCCATTGGCACTCCAAATGCCATGTGGCCACGGGTGACTGGTGCCCCTTGAGATTGGGGGGGAGGACGATGTACAGACGTAGTATATGCATTGACCAGTGAAGGTCCAGAGATGGTTGCCAGTCGGTTTGAAGTGGTACTGGCCTGGTATTGAGGGATAGAGTGAGAGGCCATATTAGTGAAGAACTGATCGTCAGCATGCCCTGACGGATTAGACTGTACACTGGAATGGTTTACAGAGGAAGATGACAACGACAGTGTGGAAGATGGGAGCACAGATTAGGGATCTGCATGGGTACGGGTAACCCGCGCGGGTCACGGGTACGGGTACGGGTCGGGATTCTAAGACCCGCGCTCTTACCCGTACCCCAGCTATACCCGTGCCTTCCATAAATGGTAGCACCTCCTGCATCAGTAATAGCGGACACCATACTTCCCGCGTGCACGCTACAACCGGCACCACCACCAACACCGGCACCTAACGCGCCTTCCCAAGTCCACCAACTCCACATTCACAGCGCGCGCGCCCGAAACGCGTCAACAAGTGTTGACGCGATGCAAACACACGCGGACGACACGCGAAGACGAAAGGACAAGAGAATCGAGGAAGGGAGAAGGGATGGTATAGAGATGAAGGAGGAAAGAGGAACTTGAGGAGACGAGACTTTGGGCACGCTGAAAGTGAGTACTCACATTGAAGACTCTACCCCCAGCAACAATGACGACGTCATACGCGTCACGTCGCCAGCGCCTATCTTTGTGCACCCAGCACTTGCACCACCACCAGCTTTCACGCCAATGCCACCATCCACAATGCCGACGCCACCATCCTCGATGCCAATGCCACCATCCACGACACCAACACCACCATCCATGACACCAACACCACCATCCATGACACCAACACCACCATCCCATCTACGACGCCAACACCTACGCGACACACTGACTCGCCAGCATCAAGTGTACACGCTCAGACCATGCCAGCGAATGCTGGCGTGGCTCGAATGCACACGGAAGACACCAGGACGGAGCCTGCGCCCAATGTTCGCAGAACGTGAGTGTGCTGATCCTCATTTGAGCAAGAGCCATGCTGATACAAGTCGTTTCCCATCGTTCGCAGGATGTGAGTGTGTCGGTCCTGCATTGTGCTCGAGCCATGCTGATTGAAGTCGTCGCCCAACGTTCGCAGTATGTGAGTGTGCCGATCCTCATTCGAGCAAGAGCCATGCTGATACAAGTTGTTTCCCGTCGTTCGCAGGATGTGAGTGTGTTGGTCCCGCGTCGAGCTCGAGCCAAGCTGATCCAAGTCGTTTCCCGCCGTTCGCAGCTTGTGAGTGTGTTGGTCCCGCGCCGAGCTCGAGCCATGCTGATCCAAGTCGTTTCCCACCATTTGCAGGTTGTCAGTGTGTTGATCCCGCTTCAAGCTCGAGCCATGCTGATCCAAGTCGTTCCCTGCCGTTCGCAATGTCTCAGTAAGTTCTTTTTCACAATCATTTTTTTTCATAGTTCTAACTTAATATTTATATGTACTACCCATGGGTAAACCCTGCACGGGTGCGGGTGAGGGTACGAGCTGGCCATACCCCCCAAAAACCCGCACCCGCACGAAGGGTGCGGGTATACCTCGGGGTGCGGGTGCGGGTCAGGTCCCCGACACCCCGGGGTATACCCGTGCGGATCCCTAGCACAGATTGGATGACCAACGGGGTGTGGGCACTGTAAGGCTGCCCGCACATACACAACTGGTAATAATGATGAATCTTGATACCAAAAAATGGTGAGTAAACAAAAGCACGAAACAAATTATGCTCTGCCTACCGGTGCATTGTGAAGGCTGCGATATTCACGACACAAGCCAGCACCTCCTCGAGGTGGAAACACTGGAGGTTCTGGATGCGGAGGAGTTTCGCTGTGAGATGTTATTGAGTGGGTGCAGTGGCATATTTGCTACAGGGAGTGCGGTGTGAGTTTAATGGCTACAGGAAAATAAAAACCATACCTGGGAAGCATCTGCAGCAAAATATGCAGCACATATGCGAGTCAAACACTCGCTGCAACGATACCGGGTCGTCATTTTACTAAGAGTTATATTTAAAAATGTGTTACGACTGCAAGAACATGTTTACTCACCAATAGAGGAACTATTTACGAGTAACAAAGTGTAAAGATACTGGATCAGTGCACCAGGCTATGGAGGGAGCGACTGGACAATTCGGAGGTGGGGGGAAAAGAGATAAGAGATGCTGGTGATCGGGAGACATGTCAGAGGATTAACATGCAGTGGAAGCAAGCAGAGAAGATGAGAAGCAAGCGAACCATATGGTACAAAAGTGTACGAGATGGCAACGCCTCTTGGAGGCGAACCAAATTCCAAATACGAGTCTACTCATCAACCATAACCCATCATGAGGATCCTGGTCTTCATCATAGATGCCATGATGAAACATCTGCCCGTTTGGCTCACTAACTTCACAAGGTCTCACAGGCATCTTGCGCACCTCGTCATTCTGAAAGACTTTGCTAATATACAAAAACCAGTTTTTGATGGTGCTGGGTATGATACAGATTAAAGCGAGGCGGAATAATGTGATATATATTACCATACAAGTGCTTGCCTACGATCGAAGCAGAAGCACAAGCGAAGACCACCATTTTCGATATACTAGTTGGCTATCGTATGGGCAACGGCCGAAAAGGTCTTCTGAGTATTTGGCAAAAGCGAGTTGAGCTGCAAGCCTGTGACTGGTGGGCAACGACACACTCTGATTCTCACCTTGATTGTGTCCAGAAGGGCGCGGTCCCAGTCGCATTTTCGCGCCATGACGAATGACCGATGGGCGTAGGAAGTATGATAGTTCGGACTGGTATTGATATCTTGAGTGAGTAGTCCTTCGGCGGTAGATAAGTCTCCATTTAGACATGCAATATGGAGGGTCGTGATGGCTAGGATCTGCACGAAGCATGCTCGATTTGTGGTATATGAGTCAGAGACGAAAACATGCCTTTGAGCGATGGACGTAGGGAGTATGGTTGTTTGGATCGGTATTGATATCTTGCATGAGTAGTTCTTCGTCAGTATATAAGTCTCCATCTATGCATGCATCGCGGACTGTTGTGGTGGCAATAGTCTGCAAGAAACATGCTTGATTTGTGGTATATTCAGAGTCAGAGATGGAAACATGCCTTTGGATGTCTTGCATGGTCGTAGTCTAGACCGCGGGCGAGAGACATGTCGAATGAGATCTATTCATACATGAATATCATGTTTTGATTCATGGAAAACGAGCCTACTTTGTCGAGAACTTTGTAAGCTCGCATGAGAGTAAAGAGAATATCCATGTCTGAAATGCCCTGCTTGGCGCTCGGGTTGCCATAAGAGTGGCATCTACTTTCAAAAGATCGAGTAACGACAGGCCACCTATCGGTGTGTGGTTCCTGCTGTATTGTTTTTATCTGGTATGATTTTGCGATAAGTATCGATTCACAAGTCTGTGCGACATACTAGGGAACTCGTGAAGTGAGTGCAGGAAGTCAGAGCAAGGATAGCAATAGTCAGTAGATAAATGACAGCAATATAAAAACGACGCACTTCTTTTCCAGTCGCCGTCAACGTGGCGTGATGATGCCGTGATAACTCCAGGGTAGCGCATAATCCTCGACGAGCGTCTGCGCAAAATGCTCAGGAGTGATGGAAGGATCTAAACGGCGTCAGCAATGAAAGCTACTCTAAACAAGAGGCTTACCATTCAGATTCCATACAAAGGTCTCGCACATCTTATGATGCTCCACATCGAACTCAGGTCTGATCGGCACGAGTTGCTCAGGGCCCGGGTTGGCCAGGAAGTTTCTGAACCCGTGGTTCCGAATTAATCGATCTCCCCAAGACCCAGCAAAAACTCGTGGAAGTGAGTACTCATTCTGTCAACTTCGCCCCCACACTTTCTCTTTTTACCTGGGCTGGCCAGGGCAGTCCGAAGTTGCTTCGAACCCTGAGCTGATCCCAGTGTAAATGCAGACCCGGCCAGGGCGTACAGAGTTGCTCTGAACCCTGAAACTGGCGAAGCAATTTAACTGCATTTTTGTTTTTGTCCCTTTCCTCGTTCCTATTCATACATTCACGCTTGTAACTACTTACATCCGAAGTCAACCGTGTCCAAATCAGAACATTCCTACTGGTCGCCGTACAAACTTTCGTCGCGGCACAATTGTAATCATCTGACACGTTCTGGAGTCCTTTCACCGTCTCTCAATTCGACGAGGTAAGTTTGTTTGTTCTGTATCGTTCTATTTTTCTCACCGGCATTCCAGGTGCAAAGGTCATCACATCTGATGTTTCCCTCCCAACCTTGCCAACAAGATTGTTCTTGCCAACGAGACCACTGTCGTTACTCCTCTTGGCGGTTATCAGTATGTTCCCATTGAGACTGTCGAGCCTGGTAACGACAGGTCCCTTGAGCCATGGACCAACTGTCTGGTGGTCGTCATTGGTCAATGCTTCTTTCAACGTTGCGCAGTACGAGGCTTACTCGCCCGTCTTCATGACGGCAACCATGGCTGTTGTATATGGTGTCTAACTTGTATTTGTAAGTATAACTCAGTGTAATCATACACTGTAATCTCAGTGTACCCGTTGCTCGTTACAGCAAGTCACCATCTCTCTACACTTTCGGTGTGCCTGTCCATTTCATTTCATTTCGGACTAGCACTCATTTACACATTTTCTCAGTTCCATACATTTTGGCACACGACCTGTAGATGCATCCCAACCAATTGAACAACAGTCCCGACACTGGAATTTCAACTTCAAGTTGTTTTCCGGAGGTCATCCCACACGCACCGTCGATGTACCTCTTGCTCAAGATGAAATTGTGAGTGACTTATCATCCCTCCAATTTCGTTCCATTAAAATACACTGCAGAGACATGGCTAGACGTGTGGCACGATCACACTCAGTTCAACTCTCGTTTCCCTGCACCTGCGTCTAACTCCTCTCATAATCAATATTCGCTGCTGTGACTATCACCCACACACTCGGATCCATCTCTCCTCGTGCACTTCCTTTCCCTTGCGCTACTATCCTTGGATCCTCAAGGACGGTGTATATCCAACCGAACTTGAGAAGTCCCTCCTCGGTGCAGATGTTAACCACATTGTCAATCACCTGTCTTTTGGTTGGTATGAGTCTTTGTTCCAGTCATACATGGCGAAAAAGGTATGATACATGAACGCCTCGAGTCGAGCGATACTGACTTTATCCGGTGCCATCTTCTTCAAGCCGGTCAAAGTTGTGTCGTCCATGGGCGAACAATCGAAGAGCTTTTCCTTTCACCATCTTGTGGATACGTCATTCGCAGGATCGGCCATGCGTACGACAGAAGGGGTTTGGATGTCAGTAACTCCGACTAAAGATGCTCTTATTGTTGCTTTGGATTTTGAAGGTATGTCGAATTAAACCATCAGTGGACGTTTCACATTGATATCTTTCTTTGATAGGTGTTCATAGTATTGAGCGTTCTGCTCAAGAAGATACATTGCTCGTGCTATTCAATACTGCGATCTCTAACTTGGTTTGCTGCCCGCTGTATGTTTCTCATGGTTGCCTGATATCGTTTACGTAGGTGCTATTCCGGAACAACTTCGCCCTGAGCCGAGACATCACAGGCTTATTCCAGTCGTTCCAATCAAGCTCGACCGTCCTCGACCCAGCATCTAGTAACCTGAGTCTATTTCAATCAACGTTGGTGATACAGTTTCTCCTCGCTCAAGGTTGATCAGTTGCAGCTCTTAAGCGAGACATACAAGATGTACAAAGGTGTGCGGATGCGCAGCAAAGGGTCGATCGAGTGGAGATGGTAGCCAGCTTAGGATCCTATGTTGCACGGTGCAGACTTATCACTAGTACAATGCAGCAATGCAGACTACGATATTAATTGAATACACTTAGCAAGTGCATGTTCCCAAAGAGACCTGCGAGTAACATTTTGCCCATCGTCTGGAAATTGCCAAAGGTAGGCATGCAACTGCTCAAGTTGGGCAGGGGAGAGGGGGCAGTTGGGTTCATCCACGTTCACTTCGTTAAGTGTCTCAGGCCTATAGGCTATAAATGGATTGTCGGCGAGGTCGTCTGGTTGGTTGGAAGTATTGTGGTGAGAACGAATTCGGGAACTGTCAATGGCATCCCAATCAATACCATATTCTTCCAGACTGTCACCCTCAAGTACATCTTCTGGGGCATGAAATGTGCATGGCTCAAAGCCACGTGCACCATGCTGGAGCATGCTGAGGTAGCGCAGTTGGTGCGGGCTTGTGATACCATGTTCAGCAGTACTCATGCGGTGGTTGTTCCAAGTTTCAGCCCATACGTGAATTTCGGAATTGAGGGTTGTGAGGAAAAGGTAATGGACCAGCCATATGTGATGAGGGTTATCAGCGTCAAGACCACTACTAAGTTCGAGATCTTGAAAAAACTTCTTCCATTTGGATCCTATCCCGTTTGTAAAGTCGACCCATAACCGCTCGATGCGTATATTGTGTACACTCCTGTGATCTCTTAGAATACTAAATTGAATGGTCAGGCTGACTGAGTGCTCACCGACCCCAGATGTACGAACCCCTGCCTGTCCCACGAGCCGCCTCCATGAACCGCGCAACATCAACATTCTCGACTCCATGGTCTCCCCGAACACGGCTTGGGAGCCCGTGTACTTCGATGAGCTCCGTGAACAAATTTAAAACAGTAACAGCACGATTGTTATTGTGCGCTCGAATGCCTGTTATGTACCGTGAATAGCCATCAATAAATCCATGAACAACGATCTTCCAGCGGATAAGACCTAATTGATCATGGTAGTGATGTACCAAGGTCCAAGCATAATCACTTACCGTGTTGTCCATCATGATGCGCCAAAGAGTTGTAGCCTTGGACTTTGTAGACCCGTCGCATGATGCAGCGAATGCCAAAGGCTGCTACAGGAGGGCCATGGACACGAGCGTAAGATTCTTGAATGCGAGCACGAGGTACAATGATGCCCAAGTAACGTAGTTGACCATCGATCATGCGTCGTCCTAGAGTAGGATAGTGGGTGAGAATCTGAAGCATTGTTGTATCTAATTGATCGTCGGATAAGGTGGACTGTGATGCTGTGGATGATGTATAAAAACGGGACACAACACCGTCATTGCCAGTGAATTCTACATAAACTGGCTCTCCAGGTTCTGAAAGCCCACTTTCCAAGGCACGTCGACGAACTGTGCGTGATGAAACACCAAAGACATTGCTCAGTGCCGTTGGTCCACCAAACTGCATCGCAGTTTCTAGCACATCAGAATTGATTTCAAGCCGGGGACGACCACGCCGTCCAGTGTGAATAGCAACAACGGGGTTAATGGGAGGCGCATCCGGATGATCTGCTGACCGCTCTTTCGCTTGCTCAAGATCAGACACCATGGCATCCAGACTAGAGCACATGGTCGCAAAGGTGGCATCAGGTATAAGGTTATGATGCTGCAGACTCCGAGTTTAGTATCAGCACCTAGTTGAAGGAAGGAAATACACACCGTATCAATTTGATGTCTAAGCTGCTCGCATGAATGTATCTGAACTTGGAGACGTGCAGCGTCACCAAGCTGTGTGAGAAGAGCAACACGAACTTGATCTTTGAGCTCGTCGAATGCTATGATGATGTTCTGCAGTGGGAGAGGGAGTTGATCCATGTCAATGTTGTCCTGTGAATGTTGGACAGTATTGTAAGCACCGCACTCTAAATGGCTTTCCTTTAATATTCAACAATGTTTATTGCTGGCATGCGAAGCAATACATATCTATATCATACAACAAGTTTTGCCGCTCCCTAGGCAGTCCATTGGAGATAAGCTGGGAAGGTCTTCTCTAATGTATTCGCATGCAAGACATGCCCACTCATAAAGTCCATCGGCTTTCACAACGAGGTTGGCAAACTCTTGGCACCTAAAACACAGCAGCCCAATTGTCCGATCTGAAAGTACGGGTGACAAACGTAGAATGTGATCGAAAGTTGGAAGGGAGTCCCTTGTCCAGAAGTCTACCGGCTGCCTAGAGGGCCGGATAGTCACATTACATGCGGAACGAAATCTCCACTCTGAGTAAGTATAATAGTCATGTGCAGATGCGACGACTCACATAAGCTCTTCATCTCCAAGTCTTCCTAATAAAACGGACAGATTCGAGTTTGCTGAGCAATAGAGATGCACAGATTTTACTCGTGCAGAAACAACACTTAATGAATGATTAGTATATACAAGGTGAGGGACACGCGAGACATACCTTTGAAAGTTGGAAAACGAGAAAGACCGGTCAGGAGCGCAGCAGTAGGCTGCATCGGGACTTTCTTGCGTCAGGATACCCTCTGCTGCAGTGAAATTCGGCAGCCTTGAACAGATTCCCATCGCCACCTCCTGGATCCAAGCACATGCCACAAGAGCTCGCGAGGGTCAACGTGGACGATCTCCACAAGGAGGGTGGACATAGAGGCGCCGATGAGGAAACGGGAGTGCCAAAAGTGGGATTCGAATTTTGAGGAAGCGGTGGACTATTATCCTGAGAGGCATTGAGGCTTTGAGCGTTAATGGGCTGGATGTCGAGGGAGTAAGGGAATGTTACAATGAACGACGAAACGCAAGTGAGCAGAACGCAGGTATGGTGGTAGACGGTGTGCTCGTGTCGTCGCAGAGGGTGCGGCAGCAAGGTCATCTGTCAAACAGTCCAACCGTAACTGTAAATAAATAATTACCATTCAAGGAAAGTGCAGGTACATCACGCACCCGCCTGTGTGACGCGTGACCCGACGCGCGGCACTGCGTGGCTCATCGTTGACAACAATGAGGACAACAGTAGGACTCACCATGTGGATGACTTTTGTGCCGAGAAGAGAGTTCTGAGAAGCCACGTGGATGACTTTTGAGAATGAATTAGAGTTTTGAGAAGCCACGTGGATGACTTTTGGTTATCATTCAGAGATTTTCGGACATAACACGACTTTTGAGTTATCATGTAGATATTTTATATAAAACGATTCAATTTATTATTGTCTCCTCTGGGCCGTCATACGTAAGACATAGAAACATGAATATACAGTCGTTTTTCCTTAATCTGGGCCGTGCCATGGATAGTGTCTGACTTGCTGCACCATTGTGATCACTACTAATTGCAGAGACAAAACTTGCAGGTGTAATAGTGTGAGAGATGTTGGAATCAGCCCGAGGAGAATACAGAAGCACGAAGTACAAGGTCAGATGCAAGATCAGAGTCCATCGATAAAAAATTACACAAATAAGAGTTCCGAGAGCGAGACATCTAAAAAGAGTAAGAAAATTGCGCGATGAGAGCATCTGTGGAGGGGTACCTACCCCTCCACAGAATGGAAAATTTACAGACAAGTGCAAGAGCGACCTTCCTAATGCAGCCCGGCTATTCGGCTAAGGTATGAGGATTAAGAGAAATTCGTCTGTAAAACCTTACGGGAAGTCACCAGTGACCACACCTGTCATGCACCCTCAAGCGCTAAGACACCTACCATGCCTGTCAACATATTAGAAATGGAAAATCCATCCGTATGGTCTTCAGCGACACCACCATCTGTCCTGACCCGACGGCTGAATACGTCTTTTTGGAGTCGCAGACAAAGATGTCGGAACCGCCTTTACCCTTTATGACGTACGGAAGAATGGACTCGGTAAGAACCGCGCAGAGCAGACGTAGTACACTTGATGGTGAGTCCCTTGTCATGAGAATGTTTCTCGTCTTCACAATTCCTCGTATCTAGCTTCCATTGCCTAGTACCTTTCCCATCCGACTTCAACTTATTCAGGCGTTACCTTGTTGTGCCCACACCATATCTACGCCTCACATGACTCGATACGTCTGCGTCATTTCCTACCATTTTGGTTTTTTATCCGATATCTTCCCCTTCGTGGAGACAATAATACAATGCTGTGATTGCCTCCTGGATGATTTGTCTGTTCTCAGTCTACCAGACTTTGATGTACAAGGCTGCGTGCTGTCCCGACGAGCACTGACAATGTTGTCAGTCGGCATGCCCGTCCGCTTCAGCACTAAAGCACACCGAGCCAGTTCTCGAAGTTTCTTGATTGAAAATAAGAGTGAACAGCAATTATTTGACGAGCGCAAGCCTAAATCTACATAGCACAAAACAGAACGCGATATAATGAAATACGAAAAACGGGTGTTGAAACTCAATACGGTCTGCAGCACTCGGCTATTGAAACTAGAGTGCTAAGTATAGTACATCATGATAGCATGAGGAAGAGCATCAGAAACAAGGAAACATCACAGTCTGCACCGCTAAGGAGTTGAAACTAGCGTGCTTGGTATCGTACAAAATACGAGCGCATAGTATGCATCGAAAAACAGAAAACTTGGCTCGAGCATCATCTACTTCTTCTCAGTCAAGTCCTTTGCTGCAACCTGTCAGTAAGCTTCGACTGCTAGGTTCACAACCAAGCGAAGGACGTACACAAGCGATTTTCAAGAATGAACTCAAGAATCTTCTTCCCCATTTCCTCCCTGTCGTAGCCTTGACGACAAATCTCTTTCGCTCCTTTCTCTACTGCGACAGCCGTCGGAGATTTCATGTAGTAGTCCACGGCAGACTTGACGCGCTCCAAGTCCCCCAAGTCGTTCGGGAGAAAGGCGGAGTACTCGAGGACGATGATAGTAGCTGCATCCTGTCATCAAGACTATTACTTGGCATGCGGTGAGGAACTAACCAATGCCAGTCTGGATTATTTGATTCGCGAACATTAAAGCTTTCGGAGCCTGTTGCACTCTTACAGTGCTGAGAATCAATATGGAGGAAAAACGACCTACCAAAGGTTGAAGGATGCTGATAATGTTGTCTCGGTAGACTTCGGCCTAGCCAAAGGTTGAAAGTATGGGTATCAGAATCAACTCCACATAGTAAAAGTACTTGCCTCCTGCGGCAAAGGAATGTCAGAACCATGAGGTAGTAAATTAATATTTGATTAATAACAGAGACGCACGTTCTATTTGGTTGACGAGACAGTTGTGAATAATTAACCACCAGATTGTAGACCATGACCGCTGTGCTCAGGTAACTTACAAACTGTCAGGGGTTGGAACCAGATGAGCATCACTATGTAATGGTGAATACCATCCATGGACGTACGAGCTAAATAAGATTGTTTGTCAGTGGAGTACTATCATTTCAGACAGGACATGATTAACACACACATTCTGCGAACACATGATGAATACAAGGTATTATGTGGCTGGAAGAACCCTTGGCGATTGAAAAATACTCACATGCTACGGTGAAAGAATCAAAACGATCGATACATTTGATGCTTCGCGTTATAAGGATTAAATGACTCACATTCTGCACAGGGCAAGAAATATACAAGATGAATGAACATGGAAAATATCATCAAGGATGGATACTCAACGAACTATGCATGATGAGTCATGATGAGTCGATTCATCTGATAGAATAGAAAATACTTACATTAGGCTATGAAAATGAGTGAACATTATTATACTATTCAGTATCATTTCAATAGAAGATATCATCGAGACACATACCACCTGTCAACAGGCGAGTAGCAGCGAGAGATGGGGATCATGAGTATGGGTTAAGGATGTGAAACCATTAAGGCACTTACGTTCTGTCAACAGGCGAGCAGCAGCGAGGGATGGGGATCATGAGCATCGGTCGAGGACTAGAAACCATCAAGGCACTTACGGGCTGTCAACAGGCGAGCAGCAGCGAGGGATGGGGATCATGAGCATCGGTCGAGGACTAGAAACCATCAAGGCACTTACACGCTGTCAACAGGCGAGCGGCAGCGAGGGATGGGGATCATGAGCATCGGTCGAGGACTAGAAACCATCGAGGCACTTACATACTGTCAACAGGCGAGCAGCAGCGAGGGATGGGGATCATGAGCATCGGTCGAGGACTAGAAACCATCGAGGCACTTACCCACTGTCAACAGGCGAGCAGCAGCGAGGGATGGGGATCATTAGCATCGGTCGAGGACTAGAAACCATCGAGGCACTTACCCACTGTCAACAGGCGAGCAGCAGCGAGGGATGGGGATCATGAGCATCGGTCGAGGACTAGAAACCATCGAGGCACTTACTCCCTGTCAACAGGCGAGCAGCAGCAAGGGATGGGGATCATGAGTATGGGTTAAGGATGTGAAACCATTAAGGCACTTACGTTCTGTCAACAGGCGAGCAGCAGCGAGGGATGGGGATCATGAGCATCGGTCGAGGACTAGAAACCATCGAGGCACTTACTCCCTGTCAACAGGCGAGCAGCAGCGAGGGATGGGGATCATGAGCATCGGTCGAGGACTAGAAACCATCAAGGCACTTACATACTGTCAACAGGCGAGCAGCAGCGAGAGATGGGGATCATGAGCATCGGTCGAGGACTAGAAACCATCAAGGCACTTACATACTGTCAACAGGCGAGCAGCAGCAAGGGATGGGGATCATGAGCATCGGTCGAGGACTAGAAACCATCAAGGCGCTTACCCACTGTCAACAGGCGAGTAGCAACAAGGAATCAGCGCTGTCCATCCTGTTCGAGCTTCGTAAACCGCAATCTTACCAGCTGTTATTAATGGACGTCTACAGAGGAAAATATATCAGAATGTCTATAGTTCCAGCATTTCAATATTTACCATCCGTGAGCATCATTACCAGGGAATCATCAGATTGAATCAATCTTTCTCTTACTTTGAGATGTGAAAACCACCTCGCAATTCCATACTGATAGGCTCCATAATCGAATCGAAGTGGCACGAATAGCTGATGCGCACGATCCACGAGTATTCTACATGACGTTAGAACAAAAATATGTGACTTGCAAATCTGCGACTCACGTGATAGCACACTTCATACAAAGCTCCATGTTCGATTGTTGCGTTGATACCAAGCACAACCGCAGTTCTTCGTCATCCAATGCAAGAGTGGTGCTTTCCAGTAGAGCGTCGCAGTTTGTATTCTGTTTGTTCATATCTAGGACGGTTGCTAATGTTAACTTTGACATGGAAGAAGTTGATCTGAAATACTTACTCTGCAAGCGTACATAAGACTTGGGGCGGGCACGGTTCTCAGGGTTGCACAACCGATCGCAGACACCTGTCTTAGTGAACAGTTCCTCGACGCGTTCGGCAATCCTCTTTGAGCGTTCTTCACTCGATACCCCTTTTAATTCCTTCTTGATTTCTCCATAAGCGAATGGACGCAGAGCTTCAAACTTCGTGAATATCGCTACCACGGGAACTGGAGATCAATTGTTTAGTCCAAGCGCGACAAGTGACAATGAAGTTGCAAGCTCACCGCGCCCAGTATCGCACTCCAAGAAGAACTTCTCTTCTGACCGCTGGAAGGTTCGACACGGGTCGTCCATTGGAATACAATACCTGACGGCAATCAACAAGCGCAGAACGTCAGAATGGTGTTACTTACTATATGGCATGGATTCGTTCCTGCAATTCCGTCGCATGTCCGCGTTCCGAGATGAATTTCTTCATATTCTCAAATTCGTCTTCTGAGCCCGCTTCGAAACCGCAGGAGTCGTGAAATACAAAAATGGGATTGCTCTTGAATATCATCTCGTTCGTAATATCGTGGTTTCCGCGCTGAACATCCGTCAGTGCATGTATGTGCCCATAGGGCAAATGATGCACCCACCTTGATAGATGATTTAACGATGTCAGCATCGATCTACCCGCAATTGATCAGCGATGGACGCGTGTATGGCATGGATCATCACCCGCACCTTGTTTCCATTGGTATCGTAAATTTCTGGTTGATCGGTGGTGTTGCAGACCTTCTGAAGAATGGTCGTTTTGCCTGCGTTTGCTCTACCCATGATCAGAACTCGAAAGCGCCCAATTCTTTGTTTGAGATCCTGGGCGTCGATGGTTGCCATTGAAAGATCTTGATGTGTCCTGAAGTGGAGGTGATTTGGTTTATCGTGAAAGCTGTACTGTGGCACAGAACGAGGTCGTGGCGAGATATGACAGCGAACGAACACGAATTCGCAAGGGCTGTTGTGGCTTATCACACAACAGCTACACACGGCGTCTATCTCTTATCTATCTCCCTGCATCGGGCCACTGATTATACTCTCGCATAGACACGAAGTTGCAAATGTTCAATCGTTCGTACGACTAAGCACAAGGATTACACAATAAACGATGTCGAACAACGAAAACCTTGATAGAAATATGAACTATATTGAATGATCAGAACACAATGGAAATGACGCAATTTTTCTCTTCCCTACCTGTCTAGCCGAAAAGCAGCGATGCCGGATATCTCTGTAGATGGAGGTGAACTCGATATTCCGATATTTTAAGGTCTTCTGAATGACTGATCCTTGAAACGTCTGAGAGCAAACAAGAGCATGTCGGGATGTAAGACACCCTCTGGAATGAGTAATATCCCGTGACGACCGACAGGATCTGTACATCTGGAGTTCCCCCTCGGAAGATGGTGGTCCTGTGTTGTATTCTATGTGAGTCCGAGGAACGAGGACGAACATAGAATGATGTCTATGTGGCGATTCGACTTCTCGGGTTTTTTCCGGGCGTAGCTATTTTGACGCGGTCCTGCCGCGCCTGCCGCGGTCGTGACGCGGCCGTGACGCGGCGTGACGCGCATGTGACGCGGCACTGACGAGCCTTGATGCGGCACTAACGAGCCTTGACGCGGCCACTGACGCGCCATTCCTATATTCTACATTCAACTTCCAGATCAAGTTGAATGAGTTCACGACCATTCTTTTGTTATTTTATTTGCCTCAGAGCCATGTACAACTAGGTATACATAAGCCAATGACTATTTTCTTTTCCTCCCTCTCTGGACCCTTCGAGCCTGTGGAGCACATCGACGTTTAACGGGCGGACATTCTTCGGCCGGCAGAGAAGGAACTACAGCTTCGGATAGCTCGTCTGCAGACTCCACAGATGTAGCATCAGAGTTATCACTGAATAAGGGGCCGCGCTGTTAATCACATAAGTTAGATATCTATCAAACGGAGCAGGTAATGTCTTCCTCACTTCAAGTTCACTTTCGCTATAATCTCTTGCAGAAACCCATTCATCAGGAATTCCGAGATACACATTCCATCGCCTGTGATGTTGGCCAGCATCCAAACCCCACTGCTGGTTGCCTGCAGGTCCTGCTTCTTCGGAATCCTCGAACATCCTTGCTTCTAGTGCGGTCAGACACTCAAGGTCGACGTCAGCCACGAAGCTATTGGTAGGATAGCTTATCATGAGATCAGCCCAAGCCATCTTCAACAGCATGCTATCGTTCCATTCTTCGTTTCGAGCTTCAATGCGTTTTTCGAAATCACTGGCCTTTCGATGAGCAACCACGAGAGTGAAAGCATGCACCAAAGGCATGCCACCAAGCCATTTTTCGACTTGACCGGAAGCACCAGGAACATTCTCCGAGAACCAACGTGCAATTTTGGCATACTCATGAGAAGAGATGTCACCACAAAATGGTATGCTGTATGCACCCACACCATCTGGCTTCTTCCTCGATCGCAAGATGTAGTCTATCACGGGGTATGCCTCCGCACCATATTGGTTCAAGTCTGGACTGTCAAGGAGCTTCTGAAGCGAAGCAATATGTGGTAGTAGAATGTCGTCCAGTTCTTTTGATACTTCCGCTGACATAAAGTTTTGAATCAAGTCTTCTTCGCGAGGAGTATCCCAAGAGTGGATCCATTCTCCGAGCTACACAATACTTCGTGTCAAGAGGACCGCGAGTATAACCAGTCACTGTCACTCACGCGAATCTCACGCCTCTTAGCTTGGTCCTGCCAAAGTTCATCCATGAGATCTCCTTGCTCAACATCACCAGGAGGTGATCCCAAACTTAATGGGAATCTGCAACCGCGCCACCAGACCACCCACCAGCGTACTCGGTTGCGTGCACTAGCAGGGAGACCAACAGTGTCATAGGACTGAATCAGCCGCACAGGATACCAATACTTCCCGAGACGAGCCAGAGCTCCTTTGCCGGCGCTGTAAGTGAGTGATCAGCCATATCTCGATTCTCAGCTAGGGTTGGAGATCAAAAGACAAACATCAGACGTGTGTGAAGTGGAGCCGTTTTCTTCTTTGTTGTGGCTTTCCTGCTGCTCCTGAGTCATGGATGTCAGTTTATGTGAGGGGCACAGTTATTTAAACTTACTTGCGAGTTGGTGGTGCTTTTGACTCCTGTGTTGAGCATCCATCGCAATAAAATGCTGCCTTTGGATGAAGATTGCTGGCTCGGCCACCTCTCTGACAAGCAATGTGTGACCAATTTTCACACAGATCACATCGGATTGTCTTTTGACCACCTGCAACTTCATGGCCGTTGCCAAGAGCCCCACACCTACAATCAAATGTATAGTCAGATGCTTCACTCTCTCCGTCGTCCAGCTCTAATGGTTTCTTTATCTCAGATGTGGACAGTGATTCCTCTTCATTGCCAGATGCCTGAAGGACCAATGGATCCTCGATTGGCTTGGGTACGCTGGCCTGGTCAGACGGCTTTTCACCCTCGTTTATGGATGGCCGATCTTCAGTTTCCAATACCGGTGACAAGATCCGAAGTTTTTTCGTTTTTGTGCGAGAACGTTGGTGTTGGGGTGGTGCTTTGTTCTTGGAATTACTGCCTGTGTTCAATGTTACCACCTGCTCGTATTCTATATTCTGTGTAGTTGCAGGGTTTTTGAGCCAAATAAGATTGTCTGGATCAACAGCAGCCACTGCAGTGCGAGACAAAGAAATGATAGGAATTGAACCTGGCGACTGCAGGTCACGTTTGACATGAACATGATGCAAACGTTCTGCGGCTGCTATTTGATGTTCAGCAAAGAAGTTCTGCGCATCAGAGCCACCACGTAGCCTATACACAACACCATGAACATTGATGTTACGGACTAGGATAGTTCGAGTTCTCCTTAGGCGGATTGCCTAATCTGATAGCGGGCTCGCTACTGGAGAGACGGGGATCTTCTCTCGAATGAGAGGTTCGGGGGTTCCACTTAAGGTAGCGTCGGCTTTCCTTAAGGTGCGGCTTAGACTGAAGGACTGGGACTGTCTTTCAGAGGAAGTTCTGGATAAAACCTAGTAGAATCAAGTAGGGAATATACATGATTCTAGTCTGCTCTATATACTGTCGTCCGTGTGCACAGACCAATACTACGTTCGGTAGGTAGATGTAAGTGTGTCTATACAAGGGCATCTTATCTGATGCCATGCGGTCGATTATCTATACATGAGGCTTACCATGCCTCTCTTATCTGTCCTCAAGGCGTAGCATGCCTTTGAGTCTAACTGCGCATGCTAAGGCATGCGGCTTCTCTTCTGACCATGAGGCAGAGCTTCCTCATGATCCGGGTCGAGGACCATCTAGGTCCGATCAGATGTAGCCTAGGCTGGTCTAGGTCATCTAACGGCATCCAGGCCGTTCTAGGCGTCTCTACGAGTCTCCGTTGAGTCGGTAAGTCTTCCAAGACGGTGCATATGGTGGGATAGGGGCTAAGGTCATGATGACCTCCGTAGGAGGGGTTCTCGGTTACATGTTATTGTAACAATTGAAGCCTCCTGGTGCCGGGATGTCGTGCAAATTGCCCACAAGATGGCTCTTGACAGTTGCATTCTTCAACAATTGTGCATATCCTCCATGAGAAAGGTCATCATAATGGTAGACCCTCTTGCCATCCAGTGAGTAGCGAGTAATAAAGTGTGCCAGCTTTGGTGTAGGGTCACAAAAGGCAAGGCCAACCACGTCGTAAACGAGGGAATGCTGTTCTTCGGCTTCTTTTGTGAGAGGCCTTATGTGCTTGGGAATGTTCCATTTGTTATCGCGATGGAGGACATCACCAAACTCGACTATCAACATCACAGGAATTCCAAGATACAAAGTGATGAAATTGGAGGAGCCGTCACATAAAACCTGTGCATCCAAAGTTCGCCAGCAATAAGTCTTAGAAGTGGCCTCCTTGTTCACGCGAATGAGATCACGAAACCAAGCAGCTAGATCGCCCTTGTACTGAGCTGAGAGTTTGACATCAAGCTGAAAATGACACTTGGGGTGCGGTTGACGTGGTATTTGCCAGTGCATTGGTCCTCCTGAAGTACCAGAGCAAAATCGCAGGTCTATGATCTGGGCCTCGAAGAAAGTGCGAGCAAGGTACGTCTCTTCAGGTGGCATCTTGTGCAGCAGTAGTCGGAATGCCCTTCCTAGCCAGCCCTAGTGTAAGGTACTACTATTAGTGAAACTCTGATTTGCGAAATATGACAGCACACTTACAAATACTCCGTCCGCACTTGATATATCCTTGATGATTCGTGTGGCCCTCAGATTCTTGCGGAACCCATCACGTTGAGTCGTCAAGATACGAGATGCATTAGATGTCTGATCAATGCTCATACGAACTTTCATGACCTGATTCAGAGCCCATAAGGGATGTTCCTCGCGGATTCCAAGGAAGCGTGGCTGGAAGACAGTATAAAAGTGAGGGTGTATGGTAATGAACATGAGCTCCAGGCATGTATCAAGCCAACATGAGTTTTGAGACCAGGGATAACTGGGGCGCGAGCTCAGTGGATGGTTAGAGATGTTGGAGTCGAGCGAATTGTCAGAATCTGAATCTAAGTCTTCTTTGGAAGCCTGTTGCTTGTCACGAGTTTTTGAATGGGTTCTCAGAAGCTGTCGCGAGGTATCAGGAGGGCGTCCATCATTTTTTCTGGACTTGGACCGATGTGATCGTGGTGCTCTTTCTGGATGAGTACGACCATGTATTTGTAGATTGGTTTGCCAGCTCTTGGCTGCTCCGTAGCGAATTGGAGCACCCACTAATCGAAACAAGAGGTGTTTAATATCAAATTAACACTGACAATATACAACATACCACTTCGGCCAGCTGCACGTAGTTGAAAACTTTCCATAAAAACCTGCAAACAAAGCAGCCCCTCCATCAAGTTGTAGCGCTTGCCAACTGTGGCATATAACTTTGCGTGCATCGCTTCTTCTGCATTAGTGGAGTCTGGCATTGCCTGGAATAGACCCGTTTTCATCTTCTGAAAAGGAGGAAACAGCATCTGGGCATGGCTGTCACGAAGCCACCACTCCAGCCATGGCTTTGTCTTGGGGTAGTCTCGTAAAAGGGATGCAACCTTTTGCTTGAAAGTGTCCATATCCAAGACCAACAGCAGGGCCAGGGCACGACTCTGAAAGTTGTCCGCTTTGGCAGGGTCAATAACTCCACTGATTTTTTTGACACGTGTGACCTGAGACCGGTAATGCTGCTGACAGCCTTTGAGGAGTGCTCCTGCTGCATCTTCAAGTTCAGCCTGAGAACGTGAATCCTCGCGATTGGTCCAGAACATAATGAATGCTTGAGTAAACCCAACTCGTTCAGCCTCGCTGAAGTCAACAACCTGGATCAGCAAATGTCAGAATGAACACTATGTACCAGTAACTGGAGCCTTACGTTGCCAAACAATTCATCATTGACTTCACGCCCGTGCTTCTCGCATTCATCTGCCATGGAGTTGAAAAGGACAAGAAAATGTAATCGGTAGTGCTCGGCTGAACCTCCATTTGCATAGGTCATGAGTCCGGGTACCCAGCATGCGAGCAAAGCAGAATATGTCGAACTAATTATAAGAAGATCCTTAGATGAGTACCAAAATCCATGTGCTGCATCCGAAACAATGCCATTCACAGCCTCGTCCTCGATGAAGTCGGTCACCAGTTGCGACACCATGAATTGAGTTTGAACAACAACGACAGTCACTGCTTCGAATTGAGAATACAAAACATATCCTGGATGGTTCTTCTGGAATTCTGCGAAGTCATCAACGAAGTTCCGAGTGGACTTGCCCCGTAGTGCTTGCAGCTCGGCCTTGACACGGTCCTGGTTGAGAAGCACTGTGGAGATCGTTGCAACAGATTCACGGGTACCAGTAAGGCTGTTACGACCAGCAATTAATGCTGCAGGGCCAGCAGCAGGATTTTCGAAGACAATTTGTTCGAATCTTGTCCGCTCGTCACGAGATAGATGCAAGATGTGAGTTTGTTTCGGATGGTGGTGAATGCCCTTGTGAATGTAGTAGACGCCTCCTTTGAATGAATACAACACTGATGTGACACCGCAGTCGATGTGCTTGAGCTGACTACCACAAAGGCACGATGCATTGAGTTGTCCCATGATACCAGCCCGGCGGGTCTGCGGACGTGTGACTACCTCACAGGTAGGTTCATCACAAGTAATGACACCCAGGCAAACGCGTCTCGTCTTTTTACCTTGCGACCACGCGAGTGCTGACTCTGACCCCCTCTTGTCTCCTCCTCCTGGCTGACAAGCCCAATGTTCACTAAGATTATCAGTTCGTAATACCTCCTCCCATGTGAATAACTTTTCAAAGTCACCGTCCGGCCATGGGTCCCATAACTCATCTCGACCGCCAGATTTGGGACGTTGATTTGTTCGGGCTGCAGGAGGACTAACACTTCGGGTACGCCGGCGTGGTATAGACTTTGTGTCCGTGCAGAGTTCAAACAACTCCTGTGAGTGGTGTTTCATATGTTGAGGGAGGGGTGGTGGATTTGGGACGGAGTGTGCAGGGTCATGTGATGGCTGAGCGGTCTGCACAGAGGCCGGAAGATAAGCTATTATATTGCCTGTTCTATTTGTCAAATCTAAGTTCACAAGGAGAATATGTCGGATGACGCACCTGAACGGTCATAGCAGGGTATAAGGTCCCCAAAACTCAGCAGCGGACCCGGCCGATCTGGATAATTTTGATTCTCTGTCTCGTTGGGATATAAAAAGTTGAATATATGCTTGATTAATTCCTAAAAGATGGTTATAACAAGTTTACTCCGTATTTAAAAGCACTCACAAAGGCCATGATATGATTTACAAAAGCGCGATAATAAGGGTTTCTTCTCAAGCCCAGAGGAGACAAACGAAAGAATGCTTAGTAAAATAAATTTATTACTGCCTATGGACAATTACAGTGTACGACGTCTAATTCTGTCAGGATGAAAAGGAACACTGTTAGAATATCAAATATTATGACAGATCTAAAAAAAAAATACCTAAGTTATACGGACAGCGTGACAGTTGAGGTGGCGAGGTCTGACGCGGCATGTGCTACTTGTGACGCGGCATGAATGAAGTTTGACGCGGCGGTGACGCGGCAGTGACGAGGTTTGACGCGGCGTGACGCGCATGTGACGCGGCACTGACGCGGCATGGAGGAGGTTTGACGCGGCATTGACGCGGCACAACTTGTTTGACGCGGCACTGACGCGCATGTGACGCGGCAACTGACGCGGTATGTGCTATGGTTGACGCGGCACTGTAGTAGGCCTTGACGCGGCATAGAGTGTGGATGTTGATATTAGTACAGAGATTGCGAAGATATTTGGGAGAACTTGCCGTGGTGTGAGTGGTGCTTGACGCAGCCTAAACGAGGGAGGCTTCTGGCATGCCATGGTTGGGGCTTGACATGGTGGTGCAGGGTATAGAGAGTGGATCGAACTTGGCAGGGTGAGGCCGAGGCTTGACGCAGTAAGACAACATTTGACACTGCGTCTGCAAACCAACATAGATGAATGAATTAGAGGTAATGCAACAATATAGGACTGACGCACAAGATGCATACTAGTAGCATAAACGCAGAGGACAAGCACTGTAAATTTGGTGAGAGGTGAATACAGCACTATAGAGCCTGTACGCAGGCAGACACTCACATGTTGATCATTAACGATGATTCAAAGTGTTTGGAATGCGATATGAAGTTGTGTAAACATGATCTGTACGTAGGAATTTGTTACAGTGCCGCGTCACATATGCCGCGTCACAGGCGCGTCACGACCGCGGCAGGCGCGGCAGGGCCGCGTCAATTTCACCTGGCCCGTTTTTTCCCACCCTTTCTTGTTTCGTACTCTCACTTAGCACTCGCAAGTACTCGAGTACGCAAATACACTCTCGTTTCATCGCTATTTTCTATCTAAAGCTTTATCATTATAAATCTTAAATGCCTCGTATTCGCAACGACCCAAACCTGGACGTATGTCCAGATTATGCGTCGGAGGACTTCGTCGCCACCCGAGCTCAACTTATCAATGAGAACACCACGGACGCTCAAGCGATTCAGTTGCTTAAGAATATTTGGGAAGCTAACAATAATATGGACAAGCGCCGTTGGCAACAGCAGAAGAACGAAGATAGAGAAGAGCAAGTGCAACGTCAGCGTCTTGAAGACGACGAGCAAGAGAGGTTGAATCAAGAACGCGCCAAGGAAGAAGAGGACGCACATAAGGAAGAACGGAAAAAGAACAAATTCAAGTATATTCCGATTCAGAACACTGGAATTCCTGACGAGCCCGCTATTACTCCGTCGTCATATGCGCTACGCAAGTTAGACAAAGGAGAATACGTCGAACTATGGTACTTTACCAACGATGGATTAGATGAGGCGTCAATCAAGAAGACTATCGACGACGATGCTATGGTATTGTCGACGTTAGCTGATGGTTCCACAGCATGGATATCCTCAGCCTCCGCTCGAAGCGCTCGCTCCGTCATCAACGACGAGAATTTACCTTTCGAAGAATTCTGTCAAGCATGCCCTCGCTTCCTAACAGCATTAGACGAAGCCGGCTGGCCACAAGACAGAATCAGAATGATGGCTCTATTTTGGAGAAATCTACAAGTTCACAGCTATCGTTCTCTTCGGGATCCGTTAGCGCAGAAGACTCTCTTGGTGTATCAAGCCGAGCAGCGTAGGCGCTGGCATGTAGCAGTGAAATCTTCGGTCGGCCCTTACGACATTTCAGTCGTTAATGAGAAGGTACTGGAGGATACGAGGAGTCGAGTCTATTGGGACGATTGTCTTAAGAAAGATAATGCGAGAGACTACAAGGTCAGTTTCAACCATCATTATCTAGCGAGACCTTTCGCTCATCAAAGATTTTACTTTCGTAATTTAATACTTATTCATACTATGAAACATGCTTCATGCCGCATCAAACTGGCTTCGCGCCGACATGCCTCACGCTCCAATCTTACTGCTACATGCCTCATAACAACTGCCTCGCGCCACATGCTTCAACGCTCACAAACAGTCGGACCAACGAGTCCCAGCATCATCGAGATCACGTGACCATAAAGAATCGCGTAAACGCTCGCCATCTCCTGAGCAGAGCAACAAGCACAAAAGACTGCGTCAGGATTTTCGGGCAAGCGCAAATGGAGGAGTCCTCTCCGCTTGCGCAGTATGTCTCGGACGAAACCCGCACAAGATCATCGAATGCAGAGCAAACAAACTCTGGGACGAGTCCTTCGACACTCTGTGTTCACGAGTTGGCAGGATTCTCACTATGCGGGACGGAAGAGCTATCTGCAGTGACTGGCAAAGAGTCAGTGGCTGCACCGAGGTCACGCACGACAGAAGACACTTCTGTTCTGGGTGTGGAGTTGCGTCTCACGGCGCTCAAACGTGTCCTCGAGCTCAGAAAGCATAGAGCTCTTACCCCGTATAACCCGGATGTGTGGGAGGCGCAGCTGGTCGCAGCGGGTCTTATTGATAGATATCATCACATCCCTGACGGTCTTCGCCGCGGTTTTTCACTGGACATTCCTAAGATTAAAATCACTCAGGCGCCTCCCAACAAAGAATCCATTGTTGAATATCGACGAGAATTTCTCTCTATTGTGCAAATCGAACTTAAGAAAGGACGTTACGTTGGTCCGCTTAAATTTAATGAAGTCGAAAGTCTTATTGGACCCTTTCAAACCTCACCATTCTCTATTATACCAAAGCCAGGTCGACCTGGGCGTTATCGCGTCATACAAAACTATTCCTTTCCACACGTTCCTTCAGCGAAGTTTCCAAACTCTTCGATCAACTCTTATATTAATCCGGATAATTTCCCAAGTACTTGGGGCACGTTTCACGTGCTTGCGCTCACCATCAGTCGGTTACCACCGGGTTCGCAAATGGCAATCAGGGATGTTTCCGAAGCGTATCGCACAGTTCCGATCCACGCTTCGCAATGGCCGGGTTCAGTGGTGCGAATTTCGGATAATCTATTCTGCATTGATACTTGCATGTGTTTTGGACTGCGTCCTTCAGCCGGAGCTTATGGCACGCTTGCTGACGCTGGACTGGACTTATTTCGAGCGAAAGGAATCGGACCAGTATCTCGATGGGTCGATGACCATCTTTTTATACGCATTCTCAAGGAGTTTGTTTCGTCTTACAACGAAGATAGGAAGAGATGGCATCAAGAGATCACGAAGAGAGGTAGACACCAGGATGGAGGCAGGATATGGTACGGAGGGCATATCTTCGAGGACGGTACGTTGGAGGTCTTTGACGAAGACTGCCGTTTTCCTATCAAAGATCTATCAGAAGCTTCACCAAGATCGCACGAAGACGCGCGTTTCTCGTGCAACCTCGCTGACATTGATGAAGTGTCGGACGACCTTCATATCCCATGGGAGGAACTTAAAGACAAACCGTTCGCGTATGCTAACTCGTACATCGGCTTTATGTGGGACTTGGCGCAGGACAACGTGTATCTACCCGAAGAGAAGAAACGAAAATATCTCTTGGCGATCGATATCTGGCGGCGTCGTGACAAACACGTTCTTCTTGACGTGCAGCAGCTATATGGTAAATTATTACATACATCACTTATTATCCCGCGAGGACGCGTACATCTTACATCCTTGGAGGCGATGTTGCGCCTCACCTTTGACAAACCCTTTCTCCCACGAAGACCGGTCAAAAGCTTGGAAGCGGATCTCAACTGGTGGAGAGCCTTGCTCCAGAACTCATTTGTTGGGCGACCAATACCTAGGCCATTATCGTTACATGACCCAGCAGCATATTCGGACGCCAGCTCCGGCTTTGGCATTGCTGTCGTCATTGGGAACAGATGGCGAGCATGGAGACTTAGGAAAGGTTGGCAGACACTGGACGGCCAAAAAGACATCGGATGGGCCGAAGCAGTTGGATTCGAGCTGCTTACTCAACACGTTATCGGTTTGGGAGGAACGCAGAAGCATTTTAGGGTCTACGGAGACAATCAAGGGATCATCGAAGGCTGGCGTAACGGGAGGAGCAGGAGCACATCAGTCAACACAGTCTTCAAAAGAATCTTTGGTTATATCTACGATTCCCCCACATCTTACTCTGTCCACCCAACGTACGTCGAAAGCAAGAACAACCCAGCGGATGGACCATCGAGGGGAATTTATGGAAGTACTGAGTTCCTGCTACCATCCATCCCTATCGCCGAAGAACTTAGACGCTTCCTCATTGATCCCTTCGTCGTGTCCACAGACCCAGCGGATTACAGTACAGACGAACTCCTACCACAACCCAGCGAATTCTCTTCTCGCGACCATTCCTATGCAGCGCCAGATCACGAATTCCAATTCGACGGAGACTCACTCTACTTCATACGCCAGCATCAACAGCCCCACAACTAATAACCCAAAATTCAGAGCTGTGATCCCCGCAGCACATTCCGCGACTCCATTACCATATAAAGCTGGACTCATACCGATCCCTTCGGTACTTCGGCCTCATTGTCTAGCTCGAGAGAGGCTGAGGCTATGGTTCCCATCAGAGTCGCGAATAGCGTCGGGTCCGAATGGAAAGACACTGGCCATTTCGGAAGAAGATTTGGAGAGAGTGTTAATGGTAATGAATCTATCGTGGGCAGTAGGAACGCGGGAGTGTTATGGAGCGGGATTACTGGTATTCCATGTCTTTTGCGACGAAAGGAAAGTCCCAGAAGATCAGAGGTGTCCTGTGGATACAAGAACTATCTTAAACTTCGTTTCGAGTTGCGCAGGCTCGTATTCAGGGAGAACGCTGACGAACTATGTCTACGCGATAAAGGCGTGGCATATTCTTCACGGACAACCCTGGTTGGTTCAGCAAGACGAGCTTAAGGCAGCTTTGGAAGGCGCGTCAGAACTCACCCCAGCCACATCCAAACGTACCAAACGCGAGCCGTTTACAGTCAAACTCATTCTAATCATTCGATCGCATCTCAATCTGACAACTCCTCTGGACGCAGCAGTGTATGCATGCTTAACGAGCGCCTTTTTCGCTCTATGCAGGCTGGGAGAGCTCACAGTGAAGACGATCAAAACGTTTGATCCGAAGAACAATGTCAAACGCTCGAACGTAGAATTCGACGTTGAAGATAGACAAGGTTTTAGCGCAACCAAGATTTTCTTACCACGCACGAAAGTGTCGGCAGTCGGTGAAGGAGTGTACTGGGCGCAACAAGAGAGTTTGGCAGATCCGAAAGCGGCACTCCTTAATCACTTCGAGGTGAACAATCCGCGAACGGAAGATCATTTATTCGCGTGGAAACACGCTAAAGGATCAAGACCACTTACGCGAAGTGAATTCTGGAAGAGAGTAGGAGGAATAGTGAAGAGAGCCGGGCTAGGAGATCTCAAAGGACACGGTTTGAGAATCGGAGGCACATTAGAATATCTGCTTCGCGGAGTGCCTTTCGATGTCGTAAAATCGATAGGAAGGTGGTCCAGTGAAGCCTTCACGGGATACCTGCGAAAGCATGCACTGATCTTAGCTCCGTATCTTCAAGAGTCTCCGGCACTAGAGCCATTCACCAGATACACCATGCCTCCTGCGCACTAAGAGGTAAGCAATAGTTTGGTTATATCGCCCTTCTCCTTCGAAACGGGTGCCCATGCTGCGCCTAGACGCGTCGTAGGACTCCTTAAAACTTGGGAATCACGGCTCATCATGGTCTTTCTTTCAGATTCCGAATCGATGTTTCGGGTCGCGAACCCTTCGGGTTCGAGCCCAAAAAGCATCATATACCCTTACTTCTTTCTGTAAAAGAAATCAGCTTATGTCATTGATCAAATACATCTGATTTTCTCGCACTAACACGAAAGTTATCAGCTACACATAGATTGTATTCTATGTGAGTCCGAGGAACGAGGACGAACATAGAATGATGTCTATGTGGCGATTCGACTTCTCGGGTTTTTTCCCACCCTTTCTTGTTTCGTACTCTCACTTAGCACTCGCAAGTACTCGAGTACGCAAATACACTCTCGTTTCATCGCTCCCGCCCACCACTCCCCCTTTAGCAGCCAACGTCTCGTTAAATGAAAATAAAATTTTCGATTCGAGGACAACTTGCTATAAAATCTACTCGACGCATCCCTTCGGTCTATTACAGTATTTAAAAGTCTGACTGAGCTGCTATGGCCCTACCCACCCATCACGGCTCATCATGGTCTTTCTTTCAGATTCCGAATCGATGTTTCGGGTCGCGAACCCTTCGGGTTCGAGCCCAAAAAGCATCATATACCCTTACTTCTTTCTGTAAAAGAAATCAGCTTATGTCATTGATCAAATACATCTGATTTTCTCGCACTAACACGAAAGTTATCAGCTACACATAGATATGGACTAATGAGCAACGGATCAATAGGTGCTGCGTGTTGGCTGAACTGGAACGTTGACCACGCTCGTTGGTACTGAGGTAAATGATGATGTAGCGGGCTGCCGGAGCTTGTGTATTCATAGATAGCTCGGGGCAGGTTTGGTACACGTCCGCGGAAGAGTCCGACTGTCCGTCATACTTTATAAAATTGGCGCATATACTATCAAGTATCAAAGACGTACCCGCCAACATACACGTAGATTTGGAGGGCTGGCGTACGTCTTACTGAATTACGACAAAATGCGCCTGAAGAACCCCTGAATACTCACGCATGAGCACAATGGATGTAAGTGATAAAGTACATGACCTTTCCTCTGGAACATACAAATTAGCATGCTTTGGCAATGAATATGAGGACTCGCGATGCAAGTCAAGACTCACTAGCTTGAAAGATATGCGTGACTGTATGCCTTGGATCCAGCTATTTCGGATAATGTCGACAGATTTGTGGGACATAGCGTTAAATATTGGGTGATCATCTCTGCTGCTCCCTGCCGGTGTCGATATTCAAATGGTAGCCATCCAAGGACATGGTCAATAAACCGGGTGAGGCGACTGTTGTATCCATAGCCTTCTGCGAGTAGTAGACAGTGACTTCGCTGTAGCATCTGAAAAGGAAGAAATTGTAGGTGCTAAGTTGAAATGGAAAGAAGCACCGCAGTTTAACGTTTAACCCTAGTGTGCCTGGATGCTCATTAAGATGGTCATTTGGATGAGTTAGACATTGAATGTGTGATCTGCTGCTGAGTCACGGGCACCATCCAAGACGTGAATCATCGCCCGCATGATATTCAATAGTACAACTCGAACTGTAGATGTTTGTTTGTTGTTATGTAATTCTAAATTTAAATGCCTTGCACAAACCTTCCTTGCAACTCGAAACCCTCACAAGAAAGAACAACCGCATAACAATTGCTACTACATCTCAACGCGTATTTCAAATTATTTGTTCCACTCGGAATTTACGAAGCTCGGAAAAACATGATACAAACTGGTCTCATCCAGAGCGCGCACAATGATCTTCTGACAGACGTAGCTTATGATTTCTATGGGCTTCGCTTGGCTACTTGCAGTCTCGATCAGAGGTACGTTATTCCCTTTATGCGTATACGTGTTTCTACAAGTCAACTCACGCTGCTGTTAAAGAATCAAAGTTTGGCAAGTAGACGAGAGTAATGGAAATTGGAATGTCGAAGATGACTGGAAGGCGAGCATGTTGGAAGACGCGTTTTTGCGCTTATCAACCAATTAATGCCAGGCTCACGATGCTACCGTCTCCAAACTAAGCTGGGCTCACCCAGAATTTGGGACCATACTCGCATCCGCCTCTTTCGACCGTACAGTCAAGATTTGGGAGCAAACTAGCTTTGCATCAACAACTGATTCCCAAACGAATGGTGCTGGTGCCGGGTCTCCTCAGGCTGCTTCATGTGGTTCCTCAAGATGGGTGGAAAGGGCTGTATTGGTTGATGCAAGAGGCACTGTCCGCGCGGTCGAATTTGCCCCTCATCATTTTGGGTTGAAGTTGGTACGTCAGGCGTTCGTCTCATTTAGAGATTTATGAGAGCTTCTGCAAGGCAACTGTCTCTTCCGATAATCACGTTCGCATCTACGAGTGCTTGGAACAATCATCGCTAGCCACATGGCAGCTTTCGGAAGAAGTTGATGTCTCAACGCTCCCATCTGCATCACTGTCCTCATCGTACTCCGTGGCGTTTGCGACACCAACCCAGACAAGCGCAACTCTTGAGGGTGCTTCTGCAACCCTGGTCGCTCAAGCCCTGCAACAATCGCAAAACCCCGCCACTCAGGGACGACCCGGAATGGGGAATCGAGAAGCTGATGGAGGGTGGTGCATATCATGGTGTAAAGATAGATATTGGGGGGAGATCATCGCGGCTGGCTGTGGGGTATCCGGCGCTATCAAAGTATTGTCACGCTTCATTTTTGTGGCATTGCTCACTCTGAGTCACAGATTATACAATTATCTCCCTCTCGTCGACCTATCACTCTCCTTACTTTGGACCCATCTCCTTCGCCGGCGGGTTTGCCCACTGAGGCAGGAACCTCGCTTGCAAGCGACGGAGATACTCCGACACCATTTGCTATCACGTCGGTGGCGTGGGCGCCTTCGTGTGGGCGATCATATCACCTTATAGCTACTGGAGGTCGCGATGGACATGTTAGGATATGGCGAGTCAAGCCTGCGGAGGAAGAACCTGACGTCGAAGGAGAAGGGGGCGATCCTAAATGGTCTGCAAATGTAGTAGCAGATTTCGATCACCACAAGTACGTGCGATACGCACTCCCCTATGGCTTTGTTACTGATTGGATGCGTGCAGATCGGCGGTTGGCCGTGTTGAGTGGAACATCACTGGGTTTGTTTTTGTCTCCAGGTATCGTAAGCTGCATAGTTGACACGCATTCTCTCAGGACCGTTCTGTCTTCTGCTGGGAATGATGGTCGTGTACGACTGTGGAAAGCGACTATTGGTAATGTTTGGAGGACTGCCGGGAGCATCGGGGTTGAGCAGTCGGAAGATACCCAAGATGCTGATGTCAATATGGGCGAAAATACAATTGCCGAATAGATCATTTGTATATAGTGCTCAGGCTGTCGATGTTCTTCCGCTACTTTCACGTATTACGATGTCCTTTCGTGATATCCTTTCCCGTGAGCGAACCAGGTGACCTTCACACGGCAAGCCGCGCGGACCGAATTGAAGCCTCGATACACGCTCTAACTTCTATGCTTTCGTGGGCCGGACATTTCTCTTGCGACCACTTACCTAGAGGCTTGAGTAACAATCACGAAGACCAGCGATAGGCTAAAATGTCTTCATCAGGGTCAATCGTTACTCCCTCTGTGCCCACCCAGCGACTGATGTCTGTCGCATCTCATCTACACAGTCAACGATTCAAAGTTGTCGTATGTCGCAACCTCGGACCCGATGTTATGTCCATTCTTGAGGCAAGACCAGAGCTAGATGTGAGTTAATATCCGATTGGTATGGAAAGGTGAGGCTTACTACAGTTGTAGTTGGTTGTCTGGCCGCAAGATAGTGCCTGTGAACGGTCATGGTTGATGGAGAATATATCTGGTGCAACCGGGGTGATTGTCATGCTCACAGACAAAGTACTATTATTGTTTGATGTTTGATGATACACCTGCTGATGGCCCGGGTGACTTGCTTAGGTTAATGCAGAGCTTCTAGACAAGGGTACGTATGCAACACATACCTCTAGCTAAGTTGAGACCGACATGTGTCTGCTAGCTGGACCTTCTTTAAAGGTGGTATCCACCATGTCCGTTGGATATGGTGCGTGCGTTTGCTATTCTAAATCCCCTCAGTACTTGATTTAACCTGAAACTGCAGACCACGTTGACCTCAAGGAAGCAGCACAACGTGGTCTGAAAGTGGGATATACTCCTGACGTCCTGACAGACGCAGGTAGGACAGGGCACCGAACAAACGGTCCAGACCGCTTATCTTCGTGACTTATAGTTGCTGATCTGTCGGTCATGCTCGCTCTTATGGCTGGCCGAAATGGAGGCACCGGTGTAGACCTTGTGCAAAGGGGCCAGGTCAGTGATTTGTATTCTTGGCGAGATCTCTTGTGCTGAAAGATCAATGCCAGTGGGCAGCTTTCTCGTGGGCTCCTTTTGGCTTATGCGGGCCACAACTCAGTACTACGGCCGCGTCCCCCACAAGGAAAATCGGATTTCTAGGTTTCGGACGAATCGCACAAGCGACGCTAGCGCGCCTGGTACCGTTCGGTATCACACATTGCTTGTATTTCTCAAACCCATCCTCACTTCCAAACCACGCTCGGGATGCTGCGCTCGCCAAACAACACAAGCTTCAAGCAGTCTCGAAGGTAGACCTCGATGAACTTTCACGGGAAAGCGACGTTCTCTTTATACTTGCTCCTGGAGGGGGTGAAACGTATCACATCGTGAATGAGACACTGCTTAGGAAGATGAAAAGGACCAGCATCCTCGTGAACGCGAGTCGTGGAACGTTAGTTGATTCAGATGCTCTGGCGAAGGCTTTGAGAGAAGGATGGATCTGGGGAGCTGGATTGGATGTCGTTGAAGGGGAACCTAATGTCACGATTGATCACCCTCTTGTCAAAGAGCCGAGGTCAGTGCCAGCTTTACCTGATTCTGTTCTCTCGGCCGTACTAATAATTGCTATGCAGATGTGTGATAGTGCCTCATATTGCAAGCGCTACACTGGAAACTCGACTAGAAATGGCAACTCGTGCGGCACAGAATTTGATTGGGGCGATTCTGGGACAGGAGATGCCTTCTGAGGTCAATTTGTCGGATGTATCGTAACAGTACTTGAATTGCAAGCTGGTCGGATCAACATCCTGCTCTTACATTGCCCATAGATGACTCAGGCGAACGATAATCTGCCAACAGAGATTCATCACATCCGGGTCTGAGACGCAGCAACACCATAGGATCTCTGTTTTGCGCCATATGCCCTACAGCGGCTTGGCCTGAGTCCAAGCCTCTGGAGCCAAGCCTGAAGCTTGAAGCTTGAAGTCCAGGCCAACACTCCGCTCACATGATATCTATTCAGTGCGTTACACACGGTGTCTATTGTGATACCATCAAGAAAGCAATACGAGATCTAAAAGGTAGCAGCCAAAGATCAACACACCCTCACCGATACACCCTTGCGACATGTTTGATGAAGAGGGGATGAGCAAATGCTTTTGCGAGGATGTCTGCCACATTTATTTACATAAATAAGTACCACGACGAAACTACAAATACAAACGAATTCTCCTGCACTTTGCAGGCTGGTACCCGCTGATTGTAAATCACATCAAAGATCTCCCGTACTACACGGTATTGCTAGTTTCCACATGGACGCGCTCCTGGAAAGCAATTGAACTCATAGCGGTTGCTATATCGGAGTCAGCCACAAGCTTAGCGTTATATTCTCGAACACTAAGGATGAGGCGTGGTCCTAGCACAGTCAGCTGTGCCATATCGAAGATTTGAGCCAACCCAAAATAAGTTTGAGCGCCCAGGGATTCTATATCCTATAGAATAAATGAATCACGGGCGCACGTAGAGCTTGGTGACAGATCGACATACAGCTGAGATCGTCGGAGAGAATGAACCGATATGGAAGCAAGCAATAGCGAGAAAGCTAGCAAGTACAGAACATAAGCGGAAGAGACAATCGCATTCGAATTATGGACTTTACCTCGCAAAGTAACTCGCATGGGTTTGCATTAATACCGTGAAACAGTCTACAATAATGCTTCTTGTTGAGTCTCTTCGCAGTTCACGGAAGTGCTTTACAGCGATCCAGACCGCGAGACACAGTGCAAGGACCTCCCATGCAGTGCCGAGTATCCAAGTCATGGAACCCAGAAATTGGGAATCTCCCGAATAGTTAAATATGCACTGATAGGTGCCGGAGAGAGCGGATTCCTCTGGTATTTGTCAGTGAGCATGATGCACTTGAATATTTCATTCATATGTAAAGCTCACCCCCTGAAACCTGCTTTATCTGTAATACGATCACCACTACGAGGGCGATTCTGATGGCCAGAAAGATGACAACGAGAAATATCAGCATCTTTCTGGATCGCTGATACATAGCATGCAACCGAGTAATCATGATGGCTTGCATGATATTTTAGTCGAGTCAATATCACGAAGGTATACAGCTCACCGCCCAGTATTAGATCTACAACATCACTTGTCCAATTAATTGCGTCGAACATGATACGGCCTGACAAATTCAACAACATCGGTCATCAGCTTCAGAGGATCACAGGCTCGAAACAAACTCACATCTGTGGAGAATCATTATACTAAACTAACGAGTTGTTCAAGAATCTCACTCACCCCTACATGGTAGTTCAGTTGTTTGGATAGGAATGGAAGGCATTGGCAGGAAATACTCACTCCATCTGTTGTCGGGATCGTTGGAACATCGACTGTATGCCGTCCGTCACAAGGAAAAACAGAGTTATGCGAGGAGACATACGCAAAATGTTGATCCTGATCATGAGAGATGGATGATGAGCGCAATATCAATGGCTTAAACGTCAAAACGTACACAACAAACCCTATTCCACCATACCGTGCCTAGGATATGATGACGTCAGTACAGCTTGCTAACTACGCTCACAGGCTACATACAACGAGATACAGAACGGTCATCATGGACCAGCGTTGTCTCTGCCGCAAATCAGTTTCATATTATTCTTTTGATGTGGGACTCCGCTCACCCAAACAAGTTCTACCTATAAAACTGTTCTCAGAGAGATGGCTGCTCCTGTGACGGTGTCAACCCACCTCTTGTCCGAACGCAAGTCCTAGTAGAAATCCCATGATGTCACTGATATTTTCATACTGAATATTGCTTACCCCAATCGTATATTGCCATAACACAGGCGGCAACTGCGAAGTTATCGAATCATCACAGTAATCATGCGGCTGGCTCTCCACGAACCTACAAAATAGCTGCCAATAATTTCTGCATTGATGAGTGGCCACCAACTAGGATTGCTCGAGACTAGAGGCATACTATCAGAGGATGGGAACAAGCGAGCAGGGGAACTTGGTGGACATACAACGATCGCATTCATGCTTGATATACCAGCATCCAGCGCTTACATTGCTAAGTGAGATTTGAAAGATGATATTTGATTGACCGAAGTAAGTGTTTCGGCATGAATTCTGGAGTAGAAGCCTTGAGCTCAGCGATATCAATAGGGCTGTTCGATTCTTGCTCAGCCCCGCCTGTCAAAAAATGACATTGTTTGATGTTCGGCAGATACCCTGCATTTGTCAGTACCCGCGCGCACGTCGTTCTGTTGATCATCGAGCGTTGTTGACTGTTGTTCAGTGCAGGAGAAACTATCACTAGAGGCCTAGGCAAGTCTTGTTTAAAGAACAGGAACTTGAACATATTGTAAGGACGGAGCGTTTGATCCCGCGGAACCAATTCGTGTTGTCATGATCATGTGCGTGCTCCACTCGAACTCCTTCCGATATGTTCCACTTTGAGTTAGGCGCGCTCCACTTCAAGTCCAAGAATTGAGCAGCCCTACTATTAATGGCATCAAAGGAAGTGTTGGTGAGAATTTTAAACCGCAAACCAGTGACTCGCGCAGAAAAAGATCAACCAACTATTCGAGATTCAGGCTAGTGTGATCTTCCAGATGTTCTTGGTATTGTGTGGTTCGACCTAGGCCTGGATCGATGAAGGGGAATATGGATCCAGGGATATTGATGGTATCAAAGCAACAGGTATCGATACAATCGCAAAGCAGTGACTCGTGTGGAATGTTAGAACACCACAAAAGATCCCAGCCCCCGATTCGTGCACATAGAGAGGCGATATTTGAGCGCGAGCCCAAGAGTGTGGGAATTTGGGATGCAGAGATTTGCTTGGAGGTGGTTGGGACAGGTGAGGCACCTGCTTGCTGCAAATACACCCATTTGTTATTTTTGACTTTTTCTGGTGCGCCCACAGAACGTGGCTTTTTTTCCAGACTTTGTCAATGAATGATCGATGAACGCTGAGCCGTTATGCGGCCAAAAGTGGAGAGAGAACAGATCCGACCTACTTGTGAATTATTCAGACGGTAGACTTTTTTCTGAGGGTTGCATCGCCTGCTGATCTGTGTTAGGTCTATGGCTGTATGATTTTACTGATAGAACTGCAGGTGATACAAGGTCATCTTCGCGTTGGAAACGAGTTCCAGAAATCACAATCAATCAGTCATTCCATATTTGCAGTGTTCAGACGTTCCGCTTATAAAAACACTGCTTTATGATAATCTTAATCAACCTTTGCCCTGATTTGATCGAGTCGGAGGGGCTTTCCAGGAGTGATTAATGTTCCGTTCTCCTTTGTATCACACCACGAGTCAACGGTCAATCAAGAACGTTTCACCTCCGTGGTGCCTTTTTTCAGCGATGGGGCGTTGGATGGTATATCTAGTACGAACTCCATCACATCTCCATCATCATACCTCTACCAAGTCCGCCGCTCAGTGCTCTTTTCACGCCGCACCATCCCTCAAATATGACTGCAGTCTCAAATGATCCCTATTGGTGGCCGCAGATCAATTTCAATATTAATTTCAGTTATTATATAGGTTCGTGGAGAACCAGTCGGATAATGTCCCCGATGTCTCAGTTGTATTTTCACAGCTGCCTCCTCTGCTGCAGTGTTATACGATTGGGGTAAGTAAGGCAGCGTTAAACAACTACTTTGGCCTCCTCATGATAATTTCAGCATTGACAATTGGACAAGAGGTAAATTGATGCCATTACCGATGCAGCCAATTTACTAATAATGATTCTTACAGTTTGAACTGGTCTGGGTGAGCAGAGTCCTATATCAGAAGGACGCAATTAATTCGCGACAGGGGCATCACTGGTCCCTCATTACGGTTCTATACATTGGTGTGCGTAACTTATGTTACATGCGGTGCAGTTGGCAAGACATGCTGATTTCAAAATATTATAGTTGCGCTACATTGGAATAGTATACATCGTGTGGGTTTGCAAGGTTAACAAGTTTCCGTCGTGCTAATAAGCCATTACCCTCAATTAGCATCAACATGCTGCGTATGTCTCCTCACATATACCGCAGTTTATTCTGACCGGCGACATATAGAACTTCTTCCGACAGTCTCGGTGACAGATGAAGTAAGTATCTTAATGCATTTGTTCCTGCCATTCTCATCCGACTAATGGCACTCCTGCTACAGGGGTGAGTGAGATTCTCAACACAAGCTCGTCGGTTCAACATACTGACTGCAACAGCTGTGAGTTTTTTTGGAATGTTCAATCCTCTTCCGAGATGCGTCACCGACTGAGATTTTCAGGCAATGTTATGTACTTCACAGTAAACTGGATGAGTGTCGTCACAAATGCTATGCTAGGTGGTAAGCTACTCAGCTACGATACCTCAGTGATAATTTCCTGACTGGTACATCCTGCAAGTCATCATGATCACTCGGCTGTATGCCATGTATCAGAAATCAAGAAATATGCTTATCTTTCTCGTTGTATTCTTCACGTCTGTCACGATCGCCTGTGGAGTAATGACTGGAATGCTAAACAAGTATACCATAGGGGGTAAGCTTCCATTACGGTCGAAAGGTTCATGCTGATCAATGAATGACAGGGGAGCTCATCCTTTCTGGTACCTACATGTGCTATCCCTATGACCCGGAGGCAGACACCGCCATTTTGCTTCCCATGACATGGATACTCTCCACTGTATGGGAAGTGCTCGCACTGTGTCTTGCAGTCTGGATTGTTGTAAAACACTTTCGTGAACTGCAACAATCGCCGACGGGATGGGTTGTTAGGGACTATTTTACGGTGTTAATGAGAACTCACGTGGTTTACTTTGCAAGGTACGTCAGTGATCTGAATATAGTCAACTTTCTTTTCTGAAGCTTCGTACATGCTAGCTTTGTTGCTGTTTCCTGTCTCAATCTCGGGCTTTTGTTTCCAAGCTTAGTATGCCATTTTATGTCGCTGACATTTTGGTGACCTGTATTCATCACTTTTACAGGACTCACTTGCCGTGGGACCTCAGATTTATTTTGGCATTCGTCAAGTTCTCTCGGTCATGCAACTGTTTGTGCTCGGACCACGCCTCATCCTTGGTGTTCGACAGCATCATGCTAAGGTCGTGGACAACTCCGATGCAGGAGTAGACATGATTCCAATGTCTTTCCAGCAGCGCACGCACCTGTCAACTGGTAGTGGTGTATAGTCCTAGAAGTCCCGATCAACACTTGATAGATACTCCCCACATGCTGAAAACTACTCAGTACACAGTCACTTATTTTCTTCTTGTTCCTCCATCGCAGTTAACTTTCCTGCACAATCACATATAATGTGCCGCGTTCTGTTTCCGATCTTAATGGTGTGGCTGTGGACCGGTGCGCTCATGAAGTCAATGGATCTTTCGCTGATGTTCCTACTGTTTTTTGCATCAATGGTGCGAGCTCTCTAGCATCAATGAATTAAATATGTGACGAGCCAATCAAGTGAATTTTGCACTATAATTGGCAAGATAAAGTGTCAATGTGTGCTACGCCTGATGCATCGTTTTATCTGTGAACTAGTCTGTGAATCAAATATTAGACACGAGCCAACGAAGGGAATTCTCGATGCACGGTTTTATGTGCGAACTGGCCTAATACTCAAGTAAAAGATGAGTCAAGTACACAAGAACTTTGGTGAGACATTCTAGTTGACAAAAACACGACAGTATACGAAAACGAAATAGACTATAGCTACTAGAGTGCAAGAATATGTATTAAGGTCATTTGTACACCAGAATGAAAGAGGATAACAGATAAACAAGATGTGAATATACCAGACGACAGCCATACGACATAGAAGCTTCGACGACGTGTTTCGCGACAGCATCATCGATCTCCCAAAGTATGCCAACGACGCTCTTGAACCCTGAAAACTGAATACCAGCTGCTAGGTGGATCATTTCAATTTCATCAGGCGTCTCCTCATCGCCTACAGCAGTATGACAAGCCGATAAGAACGCAAACTCAGCATGCGGAAGATGTTTCTCCATGATATCGAGGAGCGTCAGATGTTCGTCTCTCATGACGAATTATAAGGCTGCGCAGGGTCCTGCTTGCCATGACAAGCAAGGTGTATTCAGGGATTCTGCTGCAAGGCTTCGAGTGCACATGCTTGTGTGGCTTTGTCACCAGAGATAGTGGTGCGGTTGGCCGTTGCAGGAACGAGCTTATGGGCAAGCTCGAGCTCGCTGTCGACAGCCAAGAACGCCTTGTCTTTCCCTGCACTCGGTTGACCCTGTCCGATCGCCACAAAGGACGGAGGCACGCGCTTCTTTATCAACTGTCTAGATCTGATCAGAGCCAAAAGTGTCGGCGTGTAAGAGCAAATGTAGAGACCTTCCAGGCATGGCTCCTTCCCAGAACGATCCGCCTTTGTTTGAAACGGGTGAGCTGCATGGAGAGGAATGGACGTGAAAGCTGCAGTCGGACACAGCCAGATTCAAGAGGGGCGCTTTAGTTTGAGGACATGCTCGAGTACGTTGATGATGGGTAGCATGATCTGGTCCCATATTATCTGCAAGAGTACTATGAGATCCGTCCCCGACTCCCCTGGGTTCATTCGAGATAAATCTCATATTGCCCTGGTGAAGCGATCTTTGAGAATCTTCATATCTGCGAGAGCGATGGACGGTAAAGGAACATGATGGGGCTCCCCTGACATCGGGACGATGATGGCGTGATGAACATTCATGTACTGGAGTATTAAAGTTCTGAAATTGTGCGATGAGTGTAAACTCGTTGCAAGGAATGATATATACAACCTCGGAACCATAAGCTGCTCCTCCTGCAGCAGTGTTTGCTTCATGTCGTGAGAACCTTGTTTGGGGAATTGCAGGTCCGATGCTCTTGATTGTGTGCTTGACCACGGGTAAACTTGAGTCCCCATTGTGAGCGGCACTTTTTCAGGAGGCTAAATCTAATTCATTTGAGTATCAGATGCCACTTGAAGGTGTTTAAGTAGATGACTTACGATATCTTGAAATTACTGGTCTCCTTGTGCGTTCGAAGACGTGATATGACCTCCGGATTGCTGTACCCGCTAGCAACATATCGCTCTACTAGTGGTCTTATGATTGCATCCGGAGCTGCGGTGCAAATGATATCAGTAGGAACTCATGAGTTCAACTCAATTCCAGTTTAAACTTTCATTGCACTTACGAACCGAACCTTTTTGCCTTGTGGGTTGGGCATTAGAAAAATGTGTCATTACTGGGCTCCAGCACTTCCAAAACAATGGTACACTGGCACGAGAAGATGTTTCTGTATTAACGGTAGTACAAGTTTACAACGGAGCACAAGAGACCCATTGCACTGAGGCTTACTTGAACGTGGCACCACTTGCAACTCCTCTCGACTGTAAAGGAATCCGCATCGGCTTTATTATACTACCTGCGAACATCAAGTCGTCCTTGCTGGGATCCGATGCAAACGCAGGCTTCGTCGAATATGCAGTCAGTGGTAGAACAAAACTAGGTATGAAGTACAATAATACTCGGAACAAACAACGATCGGACATTGAAAATCGGCGGCAAATCGAACCGCAGACCATAACATTATGACTCGACAAAGCGACCGTAGTGGGCTCTGCGAGCGGCCAAATTTCTCGTTATCGACACGAAGAGCTCGGGGGAAGCAGTATGTAGTAGAGGAACGCTTCAATCATACACGTTCGTCATTTAGGGGGGGAGTGGCAGTGTTTTAAAGTATTTCCTTATTTGTCAAAGTCTCCAAAATTTCGACGCGTTCCTCTCGCGATCTTTTGCGAGCTCCTCCTTCTCGATTATCGCAACGATGACAAAATATATCCTTGTTTCCGGAGGCGTTGTTAGCGGGATCGGGAAGGGTGTTATCGGTACGATACAGCTTTTTTGACCGAACCTGGTCGTTTATATCACTCCTAGCCTCCTCAACGGGCCTGCTCCTCAAAACTGCAGGCCTCAAGGTTACAGCAATTAAAATAGATCCTTACATGAACATAGATGCCGGTACGATGCGACCAACAGAACATGGTGAGATCTGAGTGCGAATGTTTCTCCACAAACGTCTAACATTCGCCCATCAGGCGAAGTCTACGTTTTAAATGATGGCGGTGAGGTGGATCTAGACCTGGGGAACTATGAAAGGTACCTCGACATTACACTATCTAAAGACAACAACATCACTACGGGAAAAATCTATCGTGAAGTTATTGAAAAGGAGGTGAGTTTTACTCTCTTGTGAGACTTGACTGGTGTTTATCATCGTGAGTAGCGGAGAGGGGAGTACCTTGGAAAAACGGTGCAGGTACGTTTATGGCCATCGTTACCTCGCCGTTCTCAATCCTTTGTGGTTAGATAGTGCCGCACGTGACGAACGCCATTCAAGATTGGATACAGCGTGTTTCCAAGATACCGGTGGACGAATCCGCAGAGGAACCTGACATCTGTATCGTGGAGGTAAAAAGTAACATGCAATACTTTCCGCCATGATATCAACTTTTTTTTAGCTGGGCGGCACTGTCGGAGACATTGAATCAGCGCCGTTCATAGAGGCGATGCGCCAATTCCAATTTCGCGTTGGACATGATAACTTCGCACTAATCCACGTTTCACTTGTTCCCGACATGCACGGTGAGCAGAAAACTAAGCCAACCCAGACTACTGTCCATGCGTTGCGTGGGCTCGGTCTGCTTCCTGACTTAGTAAGTAACACAACTTTCTTAAATGACATACCTGACGTTTTTCTGGAGATCGCGTGCCGGTTATTGGGACGCCAGCCCCTTGAGTCCTCCACCAAGGATAAAATTTCCATGTTCTGCCACGTTGCGTCGGAGCAGGTGATAGGTGTCCATGATGTCTCGTCTGTCTACCATGTCCCTCTCCTTTTGCAGTCACAGCGAATTATTGAGTATCTCCATAAGCGGCTTAATCTCGCAAGTTTGAACATCACGGAGGAGTGGGTTTCCAAAGGGCTGTCCTTGGAAATGAAGTGGAGAGCCGTGACAAAAGGGTACTATCATTCTTTTCCTCTATCATCGCTTCTCATTTCCCATTGTTCAGGCAAGAACGCCTCTTCGACGAGGTCAAAATTGTTCTTGTTGGGAAGTACACCGATTTAAAAGACTCGTACATGTCCGTCATCAAAGCCCTTGAACATTCTGCGTTCCGCGTTCGCAGGAAACTCATCATTCAGGTTGGTTGTGTTGGTCCCCGCAGAATAAATGACTTATAGTGACGTTGCATAGTGGGTTGAGTCATCGGACCTGGAGCCTTCAACGCAGGAATCTGATCCTGCTAAATACCACGATGCTTGGCGAGCAGTTGTTGGTGCTGGGTGAGTGGCAGCCCTACGTTTGATTAGGAAAACACCTGGTACTCAGATTGGGACAGCGGTATTCTGGTTCCCGGTGGGTTCGGAAAGCGCGGCACGGAGGGTATGATTCTTGCCATCAAATGGGCACGAGAGCAGAAAGTCCCTTTCCTTGGTATCTGCCTGGGCTTCCAGATGGCTGTGATAGAATGGGCACGTAGCGTGCTCAACATACCAGGTTCGCTCCATTTCTCGTTAGCCACTACTTCTCTTATCTTCCGTAGATGCTCATTCGGCTGAGCTCGTTCCCGACACGCAGAATGCTTTTGTCATTTTCATGCCGGAAATCTCACGCACTCATATGGGCGGAACAATGCGCCTGGGTCTTCGACCCACTGTATTTGACCGTGATTTCGAGACTTGGTCCAAGGCTCGCAAGTTATACGGCGGCAATGAAAAAATGTGGGAAAGGCATCGACACCGATACGAGGTCAACCCGGAACAGGTGCAGCGTCTGCAGGAGAGCGGTCTTACATTTGTGGGCAAGGACGAAAAAGGGGAGAGAATGCAGATTCTTGAACTCAAAGGTATGGTTATGCGCAATTGATCTGAAGACTGTTGCGATTTGTCATTGCAGATCATCCATTTTTCATGGGTTTACAAGCCCATCCTGAACTGTGCTCGAGACCACTCAATCCTTCACCGCCCTTCTTAGGCTTCATTGCGGCGTCTTCCGGACAATCCGATTTAGAAGAACAGATTCAAGTGCAACTGAAATCCTTCCGCCCACCTCACCCCGAACATTCGATGGTTAGTGAAGAGGCGCTGAGGACAAGTACGCAGGAACATCCAATTACCAATGGTGTCGGAACTATGACACCGCCAACCGACTAAACACATGTAGCTGTAAGATTGATGTATCATTTACTCGTACTGTAGTGAAACTGAATCACTTTTGTCGTATAGCGCCTGGTAATACATCACACTGCACTCGGTAGGCCCATACTATGTGACTGAACATTCTGCGCACCATTAAGGTATTCCACTTGCATTTCGAGAATCTCAGATATAGATCTCAAGATCTCATGTTTGTACCTTGCGATCCTGATCTTGGCATAATGTATTTTTAAGGAACGCATGCCCGTCTTCTGCTCACCGATGCTAATGGGCGTTCAATGAGCGGAAAACACGAATGTCGAACGAGAGAACAGAAAGAGAGCCAGGTACTGGCATTGATTCAACGAAGACCGAAGCCACATAGAAGTATCTGTCATAGTGATAGTGTAGTAAGGTAAAACTACTATCAGTAAGAGTGTCCAACAAGACAGTGAGCATGACGGAGTACATCGGCGCAATGATTAGTATAGTAGAATGGTCGTGAACCAGCCGTGAGCTACGTACAATGACCATGACTGTGATATCATCACCCTTCTGGAACGAGTGAGGATGACTCTACAGCCCGAGCATTTCGGCAGGGTGCGAGACACGACCCACATGGGCCCTCGTCTGCATGGGAGGCACGTACTCAGATCTTAATCTCTGACATACGGCAGGAGGCAACGGAGGACGGGCAGCAGCGGCAGGTACAGCAGCGAGGGAAGGCAGAGGGCTCGGGAGGCACGACAGGCAATGAGACCTGAAGCTGAAGAGGCAAAGGAAGAGAATCATTAGTGACAGGCAGCAGAGTGTGGTAGTTTTAACTTCAAATAAATGAGAGCACCGGGAACGCGAATGACGTCGATGAAAACATCCAACGAGTGATGAATGAACAAAGTAAGTAAATGAACGAACGACGTACCAACCTTAAGCCATCAGGTGCAGGAGCATGAATCTATGTGCTGTGCAAAACTTGCATCTTGATGCCGTGGGTATTCGCTGATGTGGCTCGGGAGGTAAATGCTTGATGTAGGTGGGTGTATGATGCACAAGCAAGCGTGAGGATGGCTATGTTGTGAGTCAGTGCAAAGGAGAATGTACAAGAGGCATTGAGGAAATAGTACATACCTGTCTCGCCATTGAAAGGAGCACGCGGAGGTCATGGTGGTGAAAGAGTAGTTGGGAGGACAATGAGCGATCAATCGATCAGAAAGTGCTCAGATTGACGGAGTCAAGCGCGCATGGCGCTGGACTCATTTGCAGGACAGGCTGAACTCAGCTCGGAGCACAGGAGAAGAAGAGTCACGCGAATTGGTTCCGCGGGATCAAACGTTCCGCCATTACATATTGTAGACACAACATGTGGAATCAATTGTGCCGTGTTGCATTAATGCTCTATGGATGATATTAATGTGATTGTAGGTTAATAACGAACGTCCGTCGAGTGGTGCATTGTATGCGGTCTACATTAATATTGATCGATCCTTCACTGATTGCCAAACCCGCGTGATCTGTACTCGCGGCGTGGAGCATCATGCGACCATTCTCTCTGTGGTCTAGTCTCCCTCCCATAGCGTGAACCGCGGTTCTCTTCGGTATTACCAGAAGGGTCACTGGGATGCATCCACTCTCTCTGTGGCCTGGGCTTCTCCCTTCCATAACGCGCACCTCGATACTCGTCGACGTTGCCAGAATGGTCATTATCATCCAATTGCTTGTCCCGACGGAAGTTTCCTCTGGGGTTCTCGAAGGACCGGTTGTTCTGCCTGCCCCTTGTTTCCCATGAATTTGCAGGTCTCGCAGAAGACCTAGGGTCCCGGTACGATTTTCCGAAATGCTTCGTGCGCCCGTCGTTAAGGCCCATCTTCTGCAGGAAGCTGTCGCTGACATACGGAGGCGTA